AAAGTTTTCCCAATATTTAAATGCCTTTTTCATATCTTCAAGAGGTGTCTGGAATATGTTTAAATTGTAAGTATATATCTCATTGTAATATTGAATCACGGATGTGTATATTAAATCAATCAAGTGCAAATGGGGATATGCTAAATTACTAAAGAGATATAAGGGCAGATTTCTATTATATATTTTTTGCTTTAAAAATAAACAATTTTATACTTTTAATTAACTTTATAAAGATTCTCTCATTTCCTTCGGATATAACCAAATTGTAAATTCCATCATATGACACATAATGAGAAAGACTTGGTTCATCTATATGAATTGCTATTGAATGACAATTTAATTATTAAAAAATGTTTGTTTTAAAAACTTAATTATTACCAAAGCTAGAATCAAAATTGGTTAGACCAAGGCCTATGTAGGATGGTATTACATAATAATGGAATAAAATGGAATTAAAATAATTTTACTGTTATCTAAGCAATTTTGTAGGATGATATTAACTTTTGGACTTAAATCGGGAATTGAACTTAGATTATAATTCAATATCTTGAATAATATGGATAATAATTTTGAGAATGGGTACCTCAAAGAACCTTTGAGAATTATATATGATTCGTGGAATTCATAAACTTCAAATAATTTCCGGTATGGTTGTATGAATCGTAACTTTAAGAATATAGAAGAGATTATAAGATATTTGAGACGAAATTTAGATTGATTAAATATTTTTACCACTGTAGCTGTTTCATTAGTAATATATTTATAAATATCAAAATTATAAATGTGATTATTGGATACAAATCGCCTCCCGTATGTTAAATTCGAATTGATATCATCTTCGGCTAGGATATCTTTTATTAATTCAGGATTCGCATCTATGTAGAACTAAAAATTATTAATTTAAAAGTTTAAGAGAAATATAGAATTTAACCCTGCAAACGAATATTTTTATACTTTAAATTTATCATTTCAAATATGAAAATATTAAATTATGTTTTAACTAGTAAAAGCCTCGATTCTTAAATCAATATTTTAGCAATCTAGTGATTTCTCTAAATGATGGCAGATAGCAAAAAAATTTTTTAGCACATTTCTTAGGTAATATTTGTTTTAATATATTGGTTATAAGATTTTAAATAACATTATACTTTCATGCCAAAAAAAAATCATATTATAATTTCCACTAACCAAATTATTACATATAGTTATACATATTTATTACCGTAGCGTTAAATGCCTTAGTAATTAATTTCAAATCGTTTAAGTATTCTTCATCGAGGATATAACTGTAATATAAATGTGAAATAGATAGCTTTTGAGACATCTCCCAAATAACTGAACCTTCAACCATATTCAACGAAGCGTTATTTCTATATCTTTGTTTAGAATATAAATCTTATATACATTCATAATATTCGCATTTTCTTTTTGTAAATTTTTAATTTTTTTAGATTTAATAAGTAGTATGAGAATACTAACACTATTTGGCGTAATTTTGATCAGAATCTTAATATGTCCATAAATAATCGTCGTACTAAATAGCATGAAATATATCAAACCCTTGCCTATTAATTACATTCAGATATCTTTTAATATTTAAAATTTTAATCAAAATCGCAAGTAAAATAATATTAAAATGAAACTAAATTATAGGTAATTTCAAATTATCATTTTAGGTATTTTATAATATTGAATGAATTTTATTTATGTATAATTAAAATTTAAAAGATATATAATATATGAAAACGCACTTTTTACTAAATCTTAGATTATTATTACAGAATACCTTTAATATTATATTTTTAAAGACCTATAATTGTAATGCTTGTACCCAAATTGAACCCACCTATTATTTTAAAACCTTAAACCAAACCCTGACCTAACCCCTAAAAAAATTCCCGGGTTAGCTCCCCTGGTTTTAACTGTATTAGTATTTTATCACTTTCATTTTTAAACTCTCAATACCATAATAAAACCTAATATCGTGATTGTTGATATATTTTCCTAAAACTTTTATCATTTAAAAATAATATCAGATGAAGGATATAAAATAATTTATGACACAAATATATGTTAGAGAAAGATCAAATTTTAATATCTAGAAATTATTGGTTTTAAAATTAAATTTAATAACTAATAAATTCCTATGCCAACTATTCTAAAATATATATTATAATTTTTTATTTATTATTTATTCTAATGATGCCGTTTTCATTTTATTTCGGTAAATGCTCTAACAGCGAAAACTTTATAAAGTAATAGTAAATTATATAATTTAAAAAATGGTATTAACTAATTCCAAAAAATAAATTCACTAGTTATCAAAATACCTCTCCATTAGGAAAATATAATTTTACAAATATAATGATAAAAAAAATTAATTATGGTTAGAAATAAATATTATAATATGTATATAAACCATACTCAGTAGAATTGAAGTGCAGATTAAAGTCGTAAACCATTGGATATGTCATTTGACAGAAGTCTACTAAAATATGATATTAGTATTTTTAAATATTATTAAAACTTAAATAATTTAACCTGTAGAAAATGTTATCTGTAGCATAGAAATTATCCACATTATTAACATCTTGTATATAAATTTTTAAAATATTATTAAAGATTATTGAATTTTTTTTTAAATATTAATTTTAGCTAATGTTCAATAAATTGCCTAATGAAAATTTATTTTTTTATAAACAGTACAATTTTTTTTAGTACTTTCACTTTAGCTAAACGAAATTTGTTTATTATAACAAAATTAATATATTTTTTAGTACGTTGTATTACCATTTTAAATTTAATTTAATTTATAATAAAATTTATAAAAAATAAGATTTTAAAAATATAACGAAGAAATAGAGATGATCCTAAAAAAATTCCTAATATAAATTATAGAAATTTTATATTTTAAATATTAAAAATATCTAATTTTATATTAAAATTTAAGAAAATCGCCGCTGATGATGATACCCTATAATCAAATTTTAATAGTATTTTTATCTTCTTTCGTATATTTTTCTTAACTAAAACAGAAAAATAATCATTAGGGGAGACCGGGGAGAATGAGAGCTCTAAAGTCAATAAAATTAAAAACTACTTGATAATATTGAATAAATAATATCTCATTTTATTCCAGTTATTTACTTTTATAGCTATTACATAAAAATATATTTTTTTTTAAAAAAAAATTATAATTTACTTAAAAATTCATTTTTTAAAAAAATATTATGATTTTTCTAATAATATTAATTTTTCCTAAAAAAACAGAAATGGTGAATTAAACCCTGGGAATGATTAGCTTGTAAAATATGTTTTTCCAGCAAAAATGATGTTTATATTTTAAATGAATATATCTAACATTCAATATTTAAAGAAATTATCAAATAAAAATAATTGTTTCAAAATTTAGTAAAAAAATTAGTGCATCTATTTTAAAACGCTTATTCAAGCATATAACTTTTTCTAATAAATTGTTCATTCTAGATCTATAATGGTCATAATATAAATTTTATTACTAAAGAAATAACTCCTTCCAAGTTAACCTGTGTGGCTGGAACTGTTAAGACGAGTCACTTGAGAAATTTTAACCTAGGCTGGGGTTTTTTTATTTTCTAGTATTGAAATTTACCTTGATCTAAAATATCAAATACAGAAAAAACATGAACTATTTTCTAAGAAAAGTCATATACTATCCCTTTAAAGCTATAGGATTGAAAGCAAAAATCAATAATTTCTAAGTTAAAATTGTTTTAATTTGCAATTTTATTTTTATTTTTAGTTGAAATGTCAATCATTTTAACTGATTTTTATTTATAAAACCATTTTTTTTGGATTATTAATTTTATGCGCCACCATTTTATAGTTGCAGTAAATTATATTTTTGAAAGGACATGTTATAGCTGAAAATTGATCTATGGCGAACAATAATGACATCAAAAAACTGTATATCAATAATGTTCTTAACAAAGGCATATGAAAATGGATTATATATTTGTGCCAATATTTATTAAACATATTATTTTTCCAATGTGAATTGCAAGTGAATCTAGTATAGGCCATGGTATCAGGAATAGGCATATAATTATGTTAACCATATAGAAGGTTTTCATTAGGTTACCATCGTTACCCTTTTCATATTTTCGGATTACCGTGTTTGAATAAAAGGAGTCTAGATATGAAACTAAAAGACCAAATCCGTTTCCTATAAAACCTTTAATTAGCACGAGAGGAGTCATTTTGAGATATATTATCATTGAAATATTTTTAATGGTTTATAATCGAATTCTGAACATTTCGGCAATTTTAAATATGAATAATTCATGTTTAAAAAATTTTATATAATATAAATTGTTATAAATAATTTTTTTATGGAGAAAGATTTTAAAAATAAGCAATTTATTTAGAAATCTGACTTTTCAAAAGAAATTTTATTTAAATAAAAATATATATACCAAAAACAAATTTTCTTTTTTAATAATATAATTAATTATCTTTATTAAATTATTTTTTATATATTTTTTATTTCCATTTAAAAACCGATTACAATTGACAATAAAAGATATTTAATTATATATAATATCTATTAAAATGTTAAAATTTTTTAAAAAAATATTAATTTTATTAAAAACATAAATGAATTACTAAAAAGGAATAATAGTTTGTATGTTCTACCTAAGGAATAAGAATTTTTAATAAACTAATAGTTATAATTTGTATTGTTAAATTAATTTTATTAAAATTTGCAATAAATTATAAATTTTTCATTTCGTATATGATATTATAAGATCTAATTAGTATCCTATACTATCAATAATTGTTATAAAAAGAGTAACTTCTAGATATATTGCTTATGTATAATAGTTGTTATAATAAAATTCCATATATATAGATGTATTAATGTTATCAACTAGCGCCTTCGTAAAGGAGGTTATCATGTTAAAAATGAATGACGTCTCCTTATTTTTGACGAATGCGTTACTTTTTTAGGTTCGTTTAATTTGAGAAAATCTTATTTCTATTCAAATAAAAAATATTAATTTGATTTTACCTTTTTTAGTTTTTCATTCATTTAATATCTAGCTATTATGTGATGCTCGCTATTTAGAGATGGAAATTAACATATTTAAATTCTAAAATGTGGATCAGTGAAAAATGGCGGTTTTACCCGGTGGAAAATTTGAAGTGATAGAGTATTATTGGTTTGAATCAGGCAAATATTTTTTATGTTAATCATATTTATTTACAGATTCTACTTACATTATATCTCAATATTGAATTAAATAAATTTAACCTAAAATTAGCCATCACCCACCTTTAAAGTAATTAAATTATACTGTAGTTCTCGAGTATAGGCTCTTTTTTTGCCCCACTCCTTTTTAATAAGCCTATAGAGGTATAAGCAATATTTTTCGAAATTTTGTGCCTACAAGTACGTGCGGCTTGCCAACAAACGTGTGGAGGGCTCCTCATATTTTTACTTTTTACCCAAATTAAATTGTTCTAATTAGATGGAAGTGAGGAAAACCTAGCGTAGCTCTGTTGAACCTTCAACGCTAGAGGGCAAAAGCTATATATCACGCATCACGTAATTTATTTTTTGTATATTTATTTGAAATTTATTTTTATAACGAGTTTTATATTAGTTGAACATAATTTAAACTATCATAACTGTATTTATTTATGATATATAAGATTTTTATATATTAGGAATGTTTAAAATACTAGTTATTATACATTAGAATAAATTGTATTATACAATAAATTGTATTTTTTGAATTTAATAAATTAGTTTATGAAGATAGGGTTTAATATTTGCATATTTAATAGAATGGTTTTTTAAAAATTTATTTATTAAAACTATTTATAAAATAATATATACAGCTAAAAAATCTTAATTTAAAAAAATGTTTAAATAATTATAGATTTAATGTTTGTATTCTTAAAAAGGGATCAAAATTATATCTAGAAATAGTAATTAGAATATTTCTAATGTATTAAAATGCCTAATTCTAGATTTTATAAAAAAAATTAATTTTACTGGGGAAAAAGAGCTGATAATAGATGTAACCAGGTTTTATCAAATATCTTCACATTTATTGATCTTCAAAAGAGTAAAGATTATTGAAGATTTTGAATTTTGAGAAAATGTTAAACCCTTTAATATGTGACTGTATGAAAGAAATTATTTTATATTTTTTAAAATCTTATTGTTAGTGGATTGATATTGATGTCTGAAGTTCATGAAGAGACTCCAGAACAATCCCATATTAATGATTTGGTACAAATTGATAATTACCACATACAAGCTGATTTTTATTTTCAATGTTTGATAAGGTGAAGATAGTTGGAAATATGTTCAGCTGTTAAGCCTCTATTAATTACATTCTGTATTGAGCTCTTTTCTCCCGTTTGTAAGTATGCTACCTACCTTTTGAATCAACCAATGCGGTATAAAATATAAAAACCAAGACGTAAACCAATGAGTGGGTCAATTGAAAAAAAATTAAATTATGTTAAATTGATCATATGGTAGGAGGGTATATGTCCTACAATTATTAAATTGATAGAATTCTAATTTATTATCTTATGGAAATTATCAATATTATATTAAATGAAAAATAACTTTAGACATCAAATATTAATTATAAAACGAAAATTAAAAAATGAAACAAATTTCATTATTACATTAATTACTAATTAGTATTTAATATATTATATATATATATTTCACATCTATACATTAGAATATATAATTAAATCGTTTAAATTTATATGTAAAAAATCGAGTAAACATAATTTAAAATGTAAATTTTTTTTTCAAACAAATTAAATTAAAAATTTGCGGATAATTGATAAATTGCTATAATATAAAATACTTTTTTAATCATTTAATGGATTTCCCTTTTTTATAAATTTTTTTGAAAAAAAAGAAGTTTTGCAATATAAAAAAATTGATAGGAGTGTTTGGTAGAATATTTATCTTTATAACTTTATGATAAATAAACAATATCAATAAAAATGTTTCTCTAAGACGAACATATATTCTGTCCTCAGCATGAACGCGGTTGAAGTGTAAAACCTATTGCGAACGGCAAAATGGAGGGGGGGGGGGAGTTTTGCTATGAATTCTCTTTTCCCACGTGGCCTACGATTAAATGCGCCTGATTTTCAAATAAAATTCGAGGTTTAATCATAGACCAATGAATCAAAAACAAAACATGTACAAAATGTAATGTTATTACCATGTTGGCTTAAGCCCAGAAATGAAGGTTGTCCGGGTAGTAACAAAATGTCTTTTCAGATAAAATTCTTTTCAGCTTGACCTATAATTTATTTATCTATTAATCAATAAACATCCGATATTTAGAGTTTGTAAATAAAAAAAAAATCCTTCAATTCCTAAATTATGACAAAATGACACCAAACAACATCTCGTAAATCATGCAGTAAAAGGATTACTTTTTTAAAAAAAATTAATAGAAATTAGAAAACCAGAAAGCATTTTATTTTCCGAAATGGGTTTAAAAAGAAATTGGCAAATAATTTATCTATATATATATGTGTGTGTCGTATTACCTTACGTTCGAATGTTAGCGCAAATTCACCGCGATACATATAAAATATGATATATATAAGTATAATAATTTTTTTAACATTAATCATTGTATAACTTATCCGCGAATTTAAACGCTGACTATGAATGCAGGGTCGGCATTATGAAATCCATGTATTCATATCATTGAAAGCTATTATTTTTAAATTTTAATAAATAGATTTTTTTATCCTAAAATACTAAAATATAATATTGGTTTTAAATGACGTAAGATTTTTTTTAAATAATGTTTATTATTATTATTCTTAACAGAGTTTGGAACCGAAATTGAGAATTTGAAACCCTTGGAACAGCTGTTCAAATTTAGGAAATTTGAATCAGAGTTAGCAAAATTTTTAGAAATCCAAACTGGAACTTTTATTATAATTATTAAAAAATATTTAGAAACTGAAATGGAAACATTTATAAATTTAGGTAAAAATATCGTTTGATATATTAATTAAAAAAAAAATTATTTAGAAACGGAAATATAATATTTTTAAGTCCAGATTCCCAGAAATATCGCTTGGTATGTTAATTTTTTTAGAAATATTTAGAAATTAAAATAGAATCTTTTTTAAGTCTACGTTTCCAAAAATATCGTTTGGTTTGTTTGTTTTTTTTTAAATATTTAGAAAACGGAAATAGAATATTTTTAAGTCCAGATTTCCAGAAATATAGTTTAGTATATTAATTTTTAAAAAAAATTATTTAGAAACGGAAATATAATATTTTAAAGTCTAGATTCCAAATATCGTTTGGTATATTAATTTTTTTAAAAATATTTAGAAATGAAAATAAAATCTTTTTTAAGTCCAGGTTACCAAAAATATCTTTTGGTATTATTTTTTAAAAATATATTTAGGAACGGAAATAGAATATTTTTAAGTCCAGATTCCCAGTGTTTGACCATAAATTTATATTTGATAGGTAACCAAAGTTTAATGACAGGGATATCGTTTGGCATATTAATTTTTTTTAAAATATTTAGAAATGAAAATAGAAACTTTTTTAAGTTCAGGTTTCCAATATCTTTTGGTTTATTAATTTTTTTTAAAAATATTTAGAAAACGGAAATAGAATATTTTAAGTCCAGGTTTCCAGAAATATCGTTTGATATATTTTTTTTTTAAAAAAAAACTTTTACTAGAAAAAATATATATCATATGACGACAAAAACAAATGAAAATTAAAATTATGGAAAATAGTAAAATAAAATATTACTATATATACATATTTGCAGGAAGATTAAAACATAAAAGGCAACAATATTCTCAATGGTTAGAATTTAAAATAGTAAAAAAAATTATATCTACTTGGTTTTTCATAAAAATATTAAAATATTTCCACAATTATGAAATCCATATATAAAAACTTTTAAAATTTTTCTTATCTCCCCATTTCTGATAAAAGGAGTTAGTTTGAATAACCATAATTTCAATTGCACTGGTAGTTACTAATTCCTCTTATATCTTGTTCCTCTTATAATGGAGTATAATCTTTTAAGTAAGTAAGAGTTTCATTGCAGCTCTATCCCTAGCAACAATGTAATAGACGTAATTAGGGGCATAAGTGAGATATAATGATTCTTATTTAAAATAAATTTTTTCCTAAAAAAATGTGTATTATATTTTTTTAAATAATTAGTTGTTATATTTGTTGCTTTTAATTTTATTGAATATCATCATAAAATAACAGATTAGTTGAATAATTAATTTATAATAATATTTTATTATGGGTAATATTTTCTGAGGATCAAAAAAATAATGTTAAATGGAAATAGATAAGTGAATAACACGATATATTATATTAAAATACACATTTTTTTTATAAACTATATTTTACATTTAAATTTTTATAGATAATAATGTCGATTTGAAATATCCGGCTTTAAAATATTCGACCTTCCCCGCCCTTATATATTATATTTTGATAAGTCTGATTCTCTGATAAATCTATAGCAGGCTCATTTCAAGGATAAAATAGGAATATCTATTAGATAACCCGTCTACAAAAATAAGACAAAGATGGGGAGTGATCAGATAATTTCCAGATAAAAATAATTGTTTCTATTATCGACATCAAAAGTTAAATAATTAAACAACGGATATAAAAATAATTAACTAAAAACTTTCATATACCAATAGATAAACTAAAACCCATATTAGCCAAAGATCCCATCACTGGTAACGATTTGGAACGTATAATAAATTTAGTCTAAAGTACATTGATAAAGAACCATCACTTTTACTAACATAAACAAAATGGATTAAGAATAATCAACACATGCGATTAATGTTAATAATAATTTCTCACAAAGTTAGGAATAAATTTGGAAGAATTTTATAAGTTTGAGTGGTTTTTTTTCTAAACTCTCTTATATATGCTTAGTAGACTTTTATAACTCTAACTAGACAGTTTTGGAAACATTTTCAAACAGTTAGGTATATCCATTCACTAATAACTGATAATGGTTCACAAATCACCGGTCGAGGTTTGAAATATTTTATGTGCAGAAAAGTGTATATTTAACTCATTAATATTTTTCCCAATATTCAAGAATTTCTTTCTATTTTTTAATGCTCTATATATATATATTTTTATCTAAAATAAGTATAGATTTTCATTTATTATCCCTTAAATATAAGGGGAGTAAAATTATTATATTATGGCTAGATTCCTTCTATTATTTAATTTATGAAAAGTTAAGATTATTTTACTTTGTCGTTTTTTTCCCCATTATTATTGTCACAATTTATATTTTATTAAAAAATCATTAATTAAGAATGTCGAGCTAGCAACGATGAAAGGAAGGGCGTACATTTTCTATCAGGCTTAAAATTAAAAGAACATAGATGAAGGGAGAAAATTGATTGATATACATGTGATCGGTGTTGAAATGAGAAATCAAATTAGGTAATACGATTTCAAACAGTTATGTGGAGGGTAAAAATTAAAGAATTCGCCAAATCAATGGAGATATAGCCAGATGCGTGATAAGTGGAGATGCTAAAATAAATAACAACAAATTCTGAGAAAATCTCAATAATTAAATAAGAATATAAAATATAAATTTTATTTTTAATAAAACCACCAAAAAATATTTATGGCAAAACACAAATTAGACATATTATTATAATGATAAAAAAAAATACTATAAATTATAAATATATTGTACATATTTATGATTAAGATTCAATCGAGTATTAAATTAAGTTTACAGAATTTCAAATAATCAAAAACTTAGACAAATTTAAAAAAAAAATTCCATCCTTATTTTTAAATTTGATATATATGGCCTAATAGTACGCAATACGTATATTCGATAACTTTTGTTAAATAGTAAATTAATATAAAAGCTTAGGAATACAAATAAATATTCTAAAAAATTTGAAAAAAATATTAGAATTTCATTTTAATATATATAAAAATAAAATAATTTTTTACATTATTAATTTGATTGGATTTCTAAAATAAATATAATAATTTTCCCAAAGCTTGGTTTGATAAAATTTCCAATTGTCAATTTATATTACATCTCTAAAACTATCCAAACAAGACCAATAATATATTAAATGAAGAAATATTTAGAACCAATAATTTACATTTTAAACTATTCTTTAACATTTAGCTATCTTATTATTGTAAGTGGGAAAAAGGGATAAATATATTTCGCTCCACGTAGAAAAAATGAGATGCCTAATTTGGAAAACACATGATTCAATCAAGCCATGAGTTTATAATTTCTCCATTTGAAGGAAAAAAAAGATAAAGATGATTTTGAAAAATAAAAAACTATACGAATATGTTCACACTGCTGATTTCATTGGAACTCTATATAAAGTGAAGCATCTTACTAGTATTGAGCTTGAGAAGTAAGTGATATAATGCAAGCATTTTATATAAGTTTAATATCCAAATTATGTGGAAAGCAATAACTTTCATAAGAAACAATTAGATATTGGCATCAAATTGTTGGATTTGGGTTATGCCCACCTTGGTAAATTAAGAGAAACGTCTAATATTTTACCAAAGTTTATAGTTATATTTTTTTTCCAAAAGAAATTGGTCGGTTTGGGGTAATATTAATACGAAGAAAAGAACTCGATTGAAAATCACGACAATGAATATAGAACAAATATTCTGCCATGTTGAGCCAAACATTAATTATAAAATTTGAAATATAATTTACTATAACATAGATTCATTTTTTTTTACTATTATATATAAAATAAGTTAATATTGTTTTAAAGAACATTTCCTTAAATTTGAGTATGAACAGGTCAAATATCAATCAAATACCAATCATATTTGACGATCAATGGCATAAACATGATTAAATAGTTATGGATTTTTTTATAATTAGTTTAATTTTCAAAGAAGGGTTAAATTGTGAAATTTTAAAATTAATTAGAATTTTATAATTGCCTCTTTACCTTATATAAATAAGACTTTGTTTAAAAATATTTTAGAAAACGGAGATGTTAAAAGACCATTCTTTGATGATCAATTTTTGTTATTAAATTTTGAAAATTTATTAATTTTATGATAAGAAAAAAATAAATGCAATTTGTACGATCACTGCTGTTTTGATAATTTTGTGTTTAAGAAAGTTATATATATTGATTATTGTAGTCTTATATTGTTCGTAGGTTCGTGTTTTTTTAAGTTCCCTCATTTTCGGGTTATTTAGATTTTTGAAGTTTGGATCTTGGCTAGCGTTTTCTGCTTTATTTTGATAAAAATAATAACCTTACTAGCTATATTGTATTGGGTAAATTCTTGATAAAATAAGCCATATTTTATTTATTTTATTTAATTCATAATTATTCCTAGATTATTAAATCCAATAATATTAAATATATTTTTAAAAAGTATTTATTCTAAATTAATCAAAATTTTTAACCAAAATTCAGATAATTTTGTCCGCGGAGTTTTTTTTAAAATTTTACCTTGCCCTGGTACTTTTATATGGACACTACTGACAGAGAAGGTATACTCAGAGGAATTAAAGGGCCAAAAATAAATCTAATTTACTAAATTAATTATCCACAATAGTAGAAAAATATTTAAAAATAGGTTTTTTTTAAACAAAAAAAATGATATGCACTCTTTGTTTTGCCTAGTTTTCTAAAAAAATTAATTATTATATGCAAATTAAATAATATATATACTTTACAATTTTCTTATTGATAATTGTTGCGATTTAGCTTTAATCTCTTGGATTTTCATAATTATTTTGGGAACAAACTACTTTGGGAACGAACTATTGCAAATTGGCTTTTTTTTGGGAACGAACTATTGCAATACGACAAAAAACCTATTTCCTAAATTTTCATACGAATTAGAGGAACGATACCATTAAATTTTTATAATTTATAAGAAGTACGTTCACTCAGACCATTTTTTAAAAAAAAATTAAAATATTTGTTTTAAAAACAATTTTTTTAGAAAAACATAATAAATGTTGAAAATAAAACTTTGATTGTTTGTATATTATAAATATTTTCTAAAATTACTCACGACCTCGAAAAACCATTGTAAACAAGCTACATTTAATGAACTATTAAATTTCTTTCGTTTTATTATCTATGTTCGAGATTTTACAAACAAAGGTCCGTTTAAAAGCTATAAATGATTATATTGTATTATAAATAGTAAAATCTAATTGTAAAGAAATGATATAATCTAACCTTGAGATATATATAAGGGACTAAATTCGCCCTTATTTAAAATGATTACCATTAGTAACTTGTTGGCATACGCCGAAGCGAATCGTCATTTTCGATTTAAAATTTATTCAATATTTAAGATTACCATCCCCTCTGTCTTTATTTTGAATAGAATTAATTTTAAGAAATATAATAAGTAGGAATTACTACTACTCCCACCTGTATTATTTTTAAATGTCCGCCCTCTATCCGCTGACCACTATTTCCATATCTATGCTATGAATTACAGATTAAAATATCGATTTATCAATTAAAATGTTTAATATTATATTTTAACTATATTTTTAATTCTTATTCAAAAATGTATTTTTGTAAAATTCATCCATGATAGGAATCATATTCTGATTTAAAAAAAAATAGTTAAGCCTTGAATAAATGTTTATATAATCTGCACAATTATCCTAAAACTCCCAAAGAATTTAAAATGTTTATTCTTTAATCCTATTGATATATATGTTAACCTCAATGTGTTTTTTCCCGGCAATGTGTTATTTTTTTCACCTTTAAATCATTTTATGAGGGATTTTTTTAAAAATAATCTCAAATTCGGAGACCTATCTTGGCTACAAGCTACCTTGCCAACCAAATCCGGCGGCATTGGCATACGATCGCCTTCCCTACTCTCTGTTAGTGCGTTCATATCCTCTCGCCTGTCCTGCGAGCCCATCATACATGCACTCACAAAACATCCTGACCCTTTACTTCCCCAGGCAATTGATCTATGGAAATCTCTTTCATTAGTCGATCCTCCCTCATCGGCACTGCAGAAGGACTGGGATAAACCTTTAGTTGGCAACTCCGTTGCATATCTTAAATCGAGGAGCCAACCCGAGGACCATTCTCTACTCTTCTCCATTTCCGCAGACAGCGGGTATGAATTTCTCGAAGCTTTTCCATCGCGAAACCTTGACCAGCTCCTAAGCAATGATGAGCTACGTCACGCCATCGCTCTAATAAATTCCATAATGTTTCATTATTTAATCTAATATATTATGTTTAAATATAGCTAAGTTAATTTTTTTTTATCTTTTTTATTTAAAGATGAACTGTAATTTTTGTTTAAACAATAGTCAAATAGCGAGTAAAGAATGCGCGGAATATTAAAAACATTTTCAAAAGAAAATACGGCATATGAGAGAAAATTCGAAGCGATATCATCCACTTGCAAAGTCTCAAGAGTTGATGGAAAAGTTAAAACGGCTTAATTTTTTTCTAATAAGTATATTAGTTGATTAATAATCTTTAAATTTGTTAAATTCGGGACATTAGTTGCATGAATTCTGATTTGCTTTGATCATGAATTAATAATAAAGAAAAAACGATCTCGAGGTATCGAACTCTTTATTGATCTCATTGGATGAGCCTGTGATTATACCAAGATCTAGATACTAGACTTCGTGAGAAAGGGAGTAGGAGGCATCGATTGCCTGAATATATCATTGACTTAAAATAGCAAAGTTTCAAGAGGATAAACATGTTGAATCTCTCCTAAGGAAATTTAATAAGAATCGAATTCTTGAGGATATTATTTTGACGACAAGGCATCCAATAGAGATTATTAAGATTTTGCGAGGCAATGAATAGGTTGGCAAAAAGTATGGGAGACGCAAAGCCTGGAGAATCACCACCTAAAATTTATTATAAAGGCTTATGGTTAGGATTGAAGAATGGCTAATTAATGTGGATATTATATCTCTTAGAAATACAATCCGCCAGCACTATGGGTTAGTGTGTTAAGGGGATCGATTTTTAAAGATAGCTAATCCAATATTTCCAAAAAATGGTTAATGTTTTAAAAAATCCTGCCATTTAACTAATACACCACATGAGCGGAATCTATATAGACATTTAAATAAAATAATAAACTTTATGATAATAAATTACATAATTTTTTCTTATAATAATATCATAGGATGTATTAATAATAAATCAATGTTTACCACTATAATTTTTTATATACCGAACCGTTATAAATAACGTTTCGGGTCCCTGATTGCAACATAAAAAAAGCACAACTCAAAGATATAGATAAAAATGGAGGATTTATGGAAGATTTATGGAAATATTTTTTAATTCATATTTATTTTTTTTGTTTTGTAAAA